GTTTGAGGGTGGCAGCCATGAGCCATCGCAACTAAAACTGGGTTGTTTTCTATGCTGAAAAATTCAAATGTGTAAAATTTCCAACCTCATTACAGCCCCAGTGACTCTTAGATGCTAAACTGGTTTAAATGTTCATGTTTTTTCCAAAGCCGTTTTTCTCCTCTCCTTTGTAGTCCATGACCAAAGCCAGCATTTCTCAGCCTGTGGGTTGCGATCCAGAAGTGGGTTGCAAGAATATATGAAAGGGTTGCCGACAAACTTGAAAAGTGGATTCTCCTTTAAAGGAGAAAAACGTAGGAAACCGTGGCTTTTCTCTTGCAGGCTGGCAGAGATCCATTTTGCAAGGGGTTGCTTGGGGTCCCCCATGCCCCCCACACACCTGGGACATGTGGGGTGGGGAGGATCCACACACCCACCCCACACACTGGGGGGCAGAGGGCAGTGGGTCAGGAGTGAGGAGCACTGGGTCGAGACTGGCCATTGATGTTTAAAAATAGGTCCTAGTACAAAAAAGGTTCAGAACCACTGACCTAAGCAATCCTCAGCCTGTTGTAAATGTCTAACCCCTGGAGAAATTTCTGCCTTCATATTGTGGAGCTCTGCTAATAGGTCACTGGAGCTCTTGTTCTTACTCATCTGCTGCTGCTTGAAGTGTGTGACCCTGGTCCCCCTGCTGTTGCATGGGTAGGTAGGCTTAGTGACTTTGGGAGCCTTACTGCCCTAGGTCACACAATATTCATGTTTGACAACCTATAATTTTCAGTTCATCAGCTTAGTGACTAAAATACGGTTAATCCTTTTGTTTTGTGTTGGGCTTCTTATTGCATAATTAGTTTTCCCCTAATGTATTCTGGTCTCGCTGAAGCATGCATCTTAACTGTTGTGTCTAGGGTGGGTAGAGTGTTTTCTGCACCAGCAACAGGACAAGATTCTTGAGCAAGTTCTGGCCCCTTGTCTAGAGCTGTCTGTACACATACACAGGCTTAAAGCACTCTCCTAATAGAGGCAATAACAATCTTGATGGTGAGGTAGAGAAGGGAAACAGCTCTCCATTTGCCTGCACTTTCCAGGAGCACCCTAGATCTTTTCATTTTGGGGGATTCCTTCACTTTGAGAGAGAATAGTTTCCCTATTGCAGTAGAGGCCAACCTTGCACGTCACAAAGTAGCCATGCACTCTGTGAGTGTCACTCCAGTCCCCCCTCTGCCATGATCTGCTGCTTTGATTTCTGCTCCCTGCCCTATCTACAGCTATGCTCCCTGCCCTATCGATCTTCCGTATGCAACACACACAAGCTGCCGCCTCTGCAACTTGTGTTGTGCTTGCTGCATGGTGGCCACACCTGTCTCACCAAATTTTTCCTTCTATCTCAGTTATCTGAGGGGAAAAGTAAGCAACCTCTGGTGCTACTGCTTTGCCTAAATTGGGGGAGGCAGGAGAGTGCCACACTGTAGCACTGCAGCTCCTGGGAGATAAGGAGAGAAGCCAGGTAGCCTTATGAGCCAGGCGCTCTGGAAGTGACTCATCTGAAGTTGATGGAGCTGTTTGCTCTTCTCATTTACTCTTGCAGCAACATTCAAGGAAGGCTGTATTCGAAAAAAGAGGAGCCAGGCTTTTGTTTGATGTCCAAATGGAGTTTTCGCTCTTCCCTGCGGCATCTGTTAATAGCCAAGATTGCAGGGGCAGGGAGGAACTTGACCCATGAACTCTGTCTCTGATCATTTATCCCACAAGATGCAACAAGACAGAGTTGATGAATAGCTTTGGAAAGAAATGCCATAATTGACTTTTTAATCTTAGCAAATCTTTTGGGGAGGTGGGTGGCCAATGCAGGGAGGAAGGGAAGAAAGAAGGAAACAGACTTCTGCGTAAATCTGCTTTTAATTAGCTTGCTGAGGGAGAGGGACAAGGACTGTGGGGCTAAGTACAGACAGTCAAAAAGCCCAAGGCTGAATCAATTCAGTCTTCACAGGTTAGTCTAAGCTGCATAAATTGAACCAATAAGCAAGTGAACAGACATTCACTTTTGATTCCAGAAATGCAGCCACATGCCTGCAGTGGCTCAGACCAGAGGCTGAGGGTACTAGAGCATGCCACCCTACTTGTCTGGAGCAGACAGCTTGGGCTAAGGCTAGCCTGCCCACCCTGTGAGGGATGTTTGCAGGGGGAGGGGTACAAAGCATCCTGGGATGCTGGGGAATTGTGAGTTAACTTGAATCTGGAGGGGATCTGGGACAGAAGTTTAACAAACGTATTTAACCTAAATCAGTGAAGTCTGATAATACATCTATCTTAAACTAGTTTTGGCCATTTTGAATGGAGTTTAAGTGCACTGAACTTCTGTTCTGTTAGTGGTTTAAGCCGGTTTCCGATCACTTATACCAGTTTGTGTTATTTATGTCCCTAGCCAGTAGGATTTGGAAAAGAACAAGGAGTGGAGCTGGGAGGAGGGGAGGAAGACGAAACTAGATGTGCATCTGAGAAAAAGGCAAAGTGCTGTTGACTCAGATACTGTGTGTAAATGTGCTATTGACATCCGATTCCTTTCCATTCTCCTAAATTTAGCTTGGGGAAATTTTTGTGTTTTCCCTTCGCCAGAGCTGCTTCTTGTTTCTTCTTAGGGGGTCTCATGCTAGCCACCCCCAGCACACACAGAGCACATTCACGTGTACAGTGGGGAAAGGGTTTGCCCTCCCCTATGCTGCCTGAAATGTCTCCAAGGAGCTGTTCACACTGACACCTCAGCTATTTCAAGCAGTCTTCCTGTTGCAGAGGGGTAGAACTTTCTCCATGACCCTTTGAAGCAGCTGTGATGGTGACAGATTGATTTCTGTCCTCTTTGTATCAGAAACCAGTTACATCCCTGCACATGGGCTTCCTTTAGGAAAAAAAAATTGGCACTTCTATAGTGCCTTTCATTGGGAAACATGCAAGTGCTTCACCAAGAAACAAAAGATTGATGGAAGATTCTAAAGCCAATCACTGAATTATTTTTAAAAGTACTGTTTTGTGTTTGCACAGTGCTCTCGGGGGCGGGGGGGTGGGGGTATGTTTTCAGGTTAAGTATGATACCATAACCTAGAAATAAAACCTTAAATATTATTGTCAAGAGTTTCTGCAGGGCCTGTGTGCAGATGAAAACAATACCTAATTCTGACTACCTGGAAACACCACTTGTGCAGCAGTAAGTCTGCCACCAAGTAGTGCACAGTCCCATAAATATCAGTGAAATCAAACCAGTGTTCAGTTTGAGAGCAAAAGGTGCCGTAATTGTCTAAGTAAGCTGCTTTGGTAATCCTGAGAAGTTGGATACTGCTTCTGAAATAGTTACCAGTAAATTTAGAGAGCAAGTTGACCATCTAGACTGTCATTAGGCACCAGAATCAACACTCCACTGGGTAGAAATGCAGGCATCTTTCAGAAATGTTGTTTGTTTTTGTCTGTGTTTACAGCTTCTCATTGGGTCATTACTAGAAGGGTTTCCTTCCAGTGTTCATGCACTGCAGACCAGTTTGACCAAAACCTCATAAGGCCATCAGAAAAGCACTAGTCTGATATACTCGTGCCAATCCAGCTCTGAATTTTGTGGGAAAGATGTAAAAATATCAAACCTGTTGCCCTGCTCCTCCTTCAAATACTAAAGTAAAATCCATCTTGGCAAAAACTGAATGAGTGTGTATGTCAGATCAAAGATGGCCATGCAGTCTGATCTGTATTAAAAATAACAATACCAGACTGGAGGGACCAGTAATCTGACATGATATTGGCCATTCTAATGCTCTCTTTATTAGTTTGGGCAATGCTACTTTTTTGTATAATTCTTTGTTCTTGTGCTGGAACAATGACACCTTGGCACAGAAATGTGTTTCTGTGCTGTCACATGGCACAGCATTGTATGAGGATGCTGAAATGTCATTTAAAGGGTTTACCCTTGTGGAGTATGAGAAGGGGAAGAGCTTACCCAGCTTGTAGCATGGAAGTGGGGCCAGCACAGCATGCTAAGGACAAAATGCCCAAGTTCCTGTGAAGCCAGGGGGGTTCTTCCATTGCGCCTTTTGTTTTCTAACTGGTCAGTGACCTGAACTCTTGCTCAAAACTGAAGCCTTTTCTATCCTTGACTACTGTGAAAGGTAGGAATGGAAGATCGCTTAAAGCTTGTCAATATGGCTTCTGTGCAGAGCTAAGGAACACCCCACAAGTGTGCTCTGCCTGCCCGTTCACTCCTGCTCAGTGTGTACCAGACCCTAGCAATGAGGCAGAGTAGCTGCCTTGGATTAGTCAAGCACATGCCCAGCCTCTGCTCTCAGGTGTGCTTGCCAGCACATGCTCAGGGATGTGCCAAGGTTGTCACGTTTCTGGGAATTGGCATGTGTGGAGCAGAAGTAAGTGGGTGGCCTGTGCTTCACAGTGGTGCTCCCATGCTTATTAAAGCGGCGTGGACAATTCCTTACTGTCCCAATAGGGCTGGGCCTTAGTCACTGCCTTATTTTAGGGAAGGTGGTCGAGTTGGAACAGCAGTTGCTGGCAAAATGGTGTTGGTGGAAGACTGGTTAAAGTCTGCATAGAGAATAGGCACAGTTCTTTCCTCCCCCCCTCAAAGCTCTCCCTCATCTAACCCCTCTTTCTTCACTCCCTACTTTGTCCACTTAAGTAGACATCCTGGTTTGATGTCCAGAGTGTAGGGCCATTTTCATAGCCGTTGGTGAGGGTGCGGGAAAGGGACAGAATCATGGCAATGTTGTAAAGACTTTTTTTTAATGAATCTTTCTGTCTAGCTTGTGACTGTAAGCCCTGGGTCTCCTACCAGTGGAGAGTGACTATATTTATGGCACTAGCATCCATCCCAGGTAGCTGAAATTCAGCCCACGAGGGTAGAAGGTGGAACAGTGATTCTGAGCTGCTTTTTCACTCTCCTGCCAAGGACAGGAGAATAACTTTTGTTTTGGTACCCACGGCCTATTATGTTGATCTTATTTTGTTCTTCTGTTATCTCTGTCTAGGTGCGTTGTTGTTCTATTCAACCCTAGGAAAAACAAGCAGCACCATATTCTGAACAGCTCCAGGTGAGTGCAACTCAAACAGCTGGCCTGGTGTTACATGGTGAGGTGACAGTCGGGTCCTCTTTTTATGGCTCTAACAAAAGCGTAAGAATTGCAGGAGGCAGGAACCCTGCTCCCAATTACTTCAGTCCAAAATTCCCCCAGCAAGAATTATCATGGGGAGAAATTGCAAGCTAACTTAACTCTAGCTCCTCTGTGCATGAGTTCTTG